TTAGCTCAGGAATTAATTAGCGAAACTAATGAAATATTACACATGTTATATGAAGCCATTGACACAGCTAGGTTAGGTAGGATCAGTTCTTACTTGATTAAACCCAAAGAAATGCTAGAAATATTAGAATCAGTTAAAAGTAAGTTGCAAATTGGCGATAGTTTACCTGTACCAGTAAGTAGGGAAACAGTGTATAGTTACTATGATCTAATTACCATTACGGCATATTTTGTTAACAACAACTTGAGATTTGTCATGGACATACCGTTAAGACACATTGCTAGTAGATATCATTTGTTCAAAGTAATTCAGGTACCAGAAATTCAGTACTCACAAGATGGAAAATCTAAGGTGTATGCTCAAATGTTTATATTTCCTGAAAGAACAACAGAGTACATAGCTTTTTCTGAAAACTTACAATACTATATTATGCCAAGTCAAAAAGACCTCCAAGATTGTACTCCACCACCTAATATTATTTGTAAAAACATCCATATTACTTTCCCAGTCAACCAAATTGAAGGAAACCATGCTAGGTGTGAAGTTGATGTATTTAAAAACAACTCTAGTCCCCATTGTAATTTTCGAGTTGCTAAAATAATCACTCCAGTTTGGGAAAACATCCCACAATCAAACGTTTGGATTTTTGCAGCTGTCCCTAATGACGAACAAGTTACCATAACATGTAAAAATGATCAGGGTATCATGACTTTTATTAAAGATATAAAACTGTATAACAAAGGTAAACTTACATTAGAACCAGATTGTATAGCGACAGGGTCTAGTTTTACTTTGCTGTCTAGAGGAACAAAAGGCAATGTTATGAGTGATTACCAAGGGTTAAATATTATTATCCCTAAAGTAAATCTAACGCCTAGTGATGAGGAATTGAAAATTTTAAGAGAGTATGATAATTTCACAAAAACCCATAAGGACTTTGTTTTACATCACGTAACGCATAAAATGAATGATTTAAATGTAGCTAGCATACGAGTAAAGAAACTCAGGGAAATGATGCAAGAATACCAGCCAAAAGAATTTAATTTTACTAGTTATGATTCTAATGAAATTTATAAATTGTTAGTCTTGATAATGTTGTTTATTGTAATCATATTTGTAATTTTAGTCAAATGTGGTATTGTTAAAAGAATAAGATACTGTATAAAACCTAAAGATACGAGAGAAGTTTTTGCGTTAAGAGAGAGACCTGAGAATCTAGAAACCACTGAATTAAACGTAACTGAGGGACAATCTACAGCAGATGCACCCAATAGATCAGATGAACCTGTAAATAAGCGACGTAGTTTAAGGTTGATGAAGTTAAGATTATCCTAAGAGGTTTAGAAATTGTATTGATCCATATTGTTATATATTCTAAACAAATTTGATTGATTTTAACCATTTGTATAATTAATTATGAAATATTGTAATCCTTTTATGGTAAATGATTTTTAATGTTATAAAATCATTTAGAATAACGGGGGAGGTGTTGTGATCAGACAAAGTTCTTGTGTAAGTTAGTCAAATAGTCAAATAGTACAATGGTCAGAAAAACAAGTGACTGTCCCGACATTATCATTGTTGGTTGTAAATAGATAAGAGTTTAGCTCACGCAGCTGTGAGTAGAGTTAGGCATCAGTCTCAGTAGACTGCCCCCTGGGGTAATACCTCTCGCGGTATTTCATTTGTATCGAGTTTTAAATTATTATTGGGACTTAGAAGAAATTGTTACAGTTTTGACTTGTATTCGAAAGTGTTATATATTATTCAGTGTTGAGAAGTTAAATAAATTAGTCTTTTTTGAACAGTTGTATTATTTCTTGTGTCGAATTTGGGTTCTAATCCTTAACCGTAATCAACCCGCGGCTCAACCAAAGCTCCCAACCACCTACCAAAGCCAGCATCCCACTTGGCACCACAACACTGACTGCAACGAACAAAACTGAGTATTCTATAGTGCATATGGTGTTACAGTAATTAGGTCATGTGAGAGTACATAATGATAGACAATCCCAGGACTACAAACATCATGTTTATGGTCCTAAAACAATCCACGGTTCCATCAGTTCTTGGGGAAAGAACTGGTACATAGTATCAATTTTGGTCATGAACCGATTGCGGTATCACCAACTTAGAAAAATACCAATCAAATTAATTTGTTAGTTGACAAGTTATCCCATTGTATAACCTGCATATGAATATTTTAATTTACAACGGATCGTAACAACGGACTGGACCATCGTAACAACTACGAATGTAAATTCGCTGACTGTATTCCTGACTTCTAGGGAGAGATACATTAATTTATGTCCAGGGAGAGACAGTAAGCGAATTTCCATTTACCAGTACTGTATTCTCAATTAAATATATTTAAATAACATTGGGTTTAACAAGTACTGTACCTAGGTTTGCTGCTTCAGGGAGGGTATTAAAGTGTAATTTGGTAAAACATGAATAACGTAGTAAAAAATAAATAAATTTGCCAAATTTGATAAAAATATATCCATAAACATGCAAACTACAACAGTTTACTTATTCTCCGTAAGAATAACATGGGAATTTGAAATTTACAATTTATTTGATGTTCTCCGTAACCAATCTCCGCACAAAAACAATCTAATATACTAAATTATTAGTTTTTTAAGCTCTTTAAAATGGTGTAAAGAGAAATTAGGAAATTTTATGTTTTGAGGGCCAAAAATTAGAAAAGCTGATTTTTACTCCAAAAAACCCCCCCATAACACCCCGTTCCCATAGTCCGATTATGCTGGTTCGTTAAGGTAATATAGCTATTTCCCAATAGGGAAATTCACTAAAAATAAGAATGTAAAACACGAGAATGCTTTATTTTATCAGAATCCCGTTAAGTTAACTAATGGTGACATTATGCTATATCTAATGACAGCCCCAGTTTTCATATCTCTGACAATATACACACAGCAGACCGGAACAAACCAAGGATGTACTAGGATACATTTTAATGACGGGTCAGGTCAGTGACCTTGTGATAAGGGCGGCTGAAACCTACTATCACACCCATAGAGGGCATCGGAGGCTGGTTCGATGACGTCACAACCCCAGTAAATATCACTGACAATATGCACACAGCAGACCGGAACAACCCAAGAAAGGACTAGGATGCAGTTTAGTGACGGGTCAGGTCAGTGACCTTGTGATAAGGGCGGCTGACGACCTACTATCAAACCCATAGAGGGCATCGGAGGCTGGCTGGTTGACGTCACAATCCCAGTAAATATCACTGACAATATGCAAACAGCAGACCAGAACAACCCAAGAATGTACTAGGACGCAGTTTGGTGACGGGTCAGGTCATTGACCTTGTGATAAGGGCGGCTGACGATCACACCCATGGAGGACATTGGAGGCTGGCTGGGTGACGTCGCAGTCCCAGTATACATTTCTGACAATACATACACACAGCAGGCCAGAACAACCCAAGGATGTACTAGGATGCAGTTTAGTGACGGGTCAGGTCAGTGACCTTGTGATAAGGGTGGGCCAACGACCTACGACTGACTATCACCGACGTCGAGTTCCCCCGGAAAAAAAAATCTCTCACCGATAATATTATTGTATGATGGATGGAAATTTATAATCGAAGACATGAAGTTTGTTATCATGGTGAACAATCCGAATATAAACCATTTACAGTTGTAGATTCGTCTAAAAGGTAAATCGGTAATCCTAATACTTTTGAGGAAGTACAAACACGTTGTAGAGAACAGTTGGGCTAAAGCTAAAAAAGGGATTTCAATACTAATTTCAATCTGATTCTTGGCCAAAAATAGACTGATTATGCGGTCCTGTGCAGTTTAGGCGGCTCCGGTGCAAATTTGGAAGAAACTGGTTCCCGAAGGTCAGTGGCTAGTGGTTGGTGGCTACCATTGCTGGTACCCGGCACCAGTACACGTTTCCGAGTGTCGACAAAATAGCATACTCCTCTATTTTGTCCAGCATGTTGTACAAATATTTATTTTACTGTTAACAAAATTCATTAAAAATAACTAAGAGAGGTACCCCTCGTACAGTACTTGTTATGTTCTTCACAACACTCGCGACGAAGTGTCAACGGCCGTACAGCGTACAGCACGCGTGACACGACGCACGTATGATGACGTCACTACGTGCATGCATCATGCATTATACATCATGCATCATGCATGAGTGGTGCCAAGTATCATCTACATGACCTCTCAGCATTGCTGCATGCCTTACATACACAAATAGCTGTGCAGCTCTAAACTATAGTGGTGTATCAATTAATATTATTTATTTTGAGTTAATCTCAATTAATTATCGCGCGTAAGAATTTGATAATTGGAAATCAAATTTTTCGTATAGTTTTTACAACTCAAGTTGCGAGGTTTTTTCTTAAAAGGAATACGTTGATTAACCTTCAACTGTATTTTAGGCCAACACTTTCACATATTTTACTCTTTTATGTGAACGGCAGTAGAAAAATATGAAATAATAAGTGAGCTGGCTTATTCACTAAAACTAAAATACTATTAACATAATTATTTGAACAAAAACAAACTGGTATCTTTAAGATGGGGGTTTGTCTTGGTGGCCGAGAGGTAATCAGTAATGGTAGTAAATCTAAAATGTTAAGGTTGGATTCTATGATGGTGAACCCTATTGTAATTGAGCTAAATTTGCTCGTTACACTTCAATGATAAAAATCTAATCTGATCTTTATTTGATATGTTTTTTTGAAGGGACCGGCCGAACCCTGTAGGATTTTTATTGTCTAATAGCACGATAAGTTGATAGCCAAATTACTCACGGTATCACTTTTGTCCACGACCTGACTAGGATCGAACCTGCGATCGAGAACTATAACCACACCTTTTGGTTAAGGATCTCTCAATGCCGCACTCCGCAGTAACCTCGACATTCTGTCGTATAAGCAGCACGTAACGCAACGATGACATCAAAACCGCGCCACTCCGACCTGAATACTAAGAAGGCATGCAAATTTAGTGCAGCCGACTGCCGACATCAGCGTCCAGAAAACAGCCCACATGGGCAACTTTGTTGGGCCCAAACTCAAGGCTGGAGTTGGCTGTTGCAGCAGAGAGAGATAGAGCGAGATGGAGATAGTGAGAGAGTGAGAGGACAGAGTCAATGCTCCCAGCCCGCCTCCGTTCAAATCTGTCCGCACTAGTCCGCAGTCCGCACCTATAGCGGTTTTTGCCGTAATGATAAATCCACTTTCCTGATGTAACAGTACGGTAGGTGCAGTACTGCGATTTGGAAGTTATTGTATTAGCATATGCACCAACACAACACGTACACGTAAATAATCACGATCAGGTCGTTTGTGTCTACATCTGCCCAATAGTGAATTAATCGAAATTCGTATTTCACCAGCGTTTGGAAAATGAGGCTACCAAATAATGCAGAAACGTGTGTACTGTGTACCTATTTCTTGAAGCATGGTTTAATTTGTGTAGAGAAGTAGTATTTAGATCTGATGATGTTGGAAATGCCCAAACGAAATAGACCTTTATTTACAAACAAATACACACTCAGGGATTTGTATAGTTTCTGCTAAATGTGTCCAATATCTGAAATATGGGAACTTTGAAATTCTATACTCAAATCAATGTTTATACTCAAGCTCTGTTGAAAAAAAAAACACAGGTACCACGAGGTACTTACGATCGGAGGTACTTACGATTACCGTACACTCACGCTTGTTGTCTTTTTTAACACTAAACCCTCCAAGTAAGCGAAGGGTTTAACTATTTTCTCACCCAAAGCTTAATTAAGACCAAAAACGCCAATAAATCGTACAATGTAAGCAACCCATGAATCAATGCACATGTCTTTGCAAGTCGAACTGTCAAAAGTAAGGGAACATTTGCGTTTCCAGCAACGTTATTCACACAAGCCGTCTACCAGGTCTGTGTATCTTAATCCAAATCCTCGAAGACATAATTAAGACCATAACCACAAAGCAAGTTTGACAAATGAACCAACATATCGCACCAATCCATGATAATCAATTCGCAAGTCGAGCTGAGACGGGTCGAAATTTGTCAGAGGTAAGGAGAAATTTGACAAACGCGGGTGTCGAATGCATCTGTCAATCACCCAAGCCTCCGTGGGGGGCCGAGCAGGAACCGAGGGTGGAAGGGTACAACTCGGGGGTAAACCTCAGGTGCAACTGTGTCTTAGCGACCGTCAGCGGCCCTGGACAACCGTGGACACCGAACAGTGTCCGTCAAGTCAATGAGATCTCGGTGTATTTGCGCCATTTGTCGCACAAATGATGTATACTTGTGAATAAATGCATCGCATGCATGCAGAACAGACTGCAGCGAGTTAGAATGCACATGTGTTAGCGGCCGCATTTGTCTGTAGCTGTCACTTGGACACTGGTCACTTGCACCACTTTGTATCTGTTACTCGAGTATTGACGAGCAAAATGTTGTACATACTGTATAGAGATTAATTTGCATTTGGGTAAACTTGATCGAGGCTAATGACTTTTTAAAATCAACTCTGCTTGTAGAACGCTTCAAATTGCACACAAAAATAATGTGATGTTGGAAATAAACTTAATGTTGTCTCACTTGAAAACACAATTGTAGCAGTGTTCTTTCTACAGCAGAACACAACTATTATTAAGATCCCTCCTACGGTTCCAGTTACAAAAAAAAAAACAAAAAAAAACGATCTCACCTGGAAGGAGGAAATATCGCACGAACGGGACTAAAAAAGCCTTATTATTAAAAGCCTTATTACGATGTTATTAGATAAATGAATATAATTTTAATTTATTGTTGTGGGGGAGGATATTAATAACAAGTTCAGGGTCCATGATTAGGCGTAGTTAAACGACTGCTGTTCCAAATAACAGTTTTAAGGTTAAAATATGAAGGTACCGGTACGTGAAAGGTAGCCTACTACTTACACTAGGAAAGCCTATTAATACAGTGCATGCTTAGTAATCAAAAAATATATGGAAAAATAATCAATAAATATAAGGAAAAGGATAGTTATTCCCCTTTGAGCAAATTAACTTACTTTGACTCGTCACCAGGTGGTATGATGAGGTTTTGTATGATTAGACCACGTTATCGTTTCTACTTTTCGTCTAGCTATATGATTAAACCTTGTGATAGTTTATGATTGCCAGCGTTAACGTTTGGCATTTGTAGGCTAGGTACTACTAACTTGTCACCTGGTCGTATGATAAGATCTCATTATCATTTGGCAGGTTGGTCTTCGAATTATTATGTGGATACTGGACGAACGACTGACTAATCCTTCGTTTAACAATTATTGAGATTTTCTACTTTTTTGTTAAACCAAGTGATCGTTTATGATTAACCTCGTAATGGCTTAGCAATTTAGAATTTGTCTCGACTTGTCACCTAGCTCTATAATTCAACATGATTGGCGTAGGTTTGCAAGAAGTGCATAGCTGCTTACGTAATAGTATGTTATCACTGTCTGGCCGTTATCTAGGAGCTACGACCCTACGACCTACATTCTCTCGGCGGAGTTACAAAGTGATGAGTTCACCTTCTTGCGTCAAACCACCCTTTAATTGGCACTTCAATAGATACACGGTCAGTTAATTTCAAGTGGTGTATACAAAAAGTTAACACCTCATATGGTTTATCGCAATATAGTATTGGATTTTATCAACAAGTATTGTATTGTTTTTGCTTCAAATATTTAATTTATTTTAATGTTTGTAAAAACTGTGTATATTAATATGTATTTTAGGTAAGATTTGAGCATTGCAATTCTTAATTGAGCGAAGCTCTTAGTACTACATTCCTGCTTTTGTTTTACAAATACTCCTCCTGAACGGCTGAAACGATCCGCATGAAATTTTCACAGTCATAGTAACCAACTATGGGAAGGTATGAAAATGAAATTGTACGTAACGGACTAAAGGGCTTTTCTCTACGTTAATTTCAATTATTAGAATTTTAACGTGGACCTTATGGGATTATTGGATTATTTGCAAGACAGCAATAAAAAGGTAAAGAAAAAAGTTGTAAAATGTTAGTCAACGAATCATTTAAATTATATTTATGTGAATAAAAATATACCATTGTCATTGGATATTGCAAGAAGAAATTTAATTTATGAGAACCAGACGAAAAATTGACTTTGGATACTGCAAGTAGACAATTCATTTACGTGAACCAAAATGTACCATTGAGTTTGGATACTGCAAGTAGACATTTCATTTACGCGAACCAGACGTATAGACTTTGTATACTGCAAATAGACATTCCATTGACTTTAGAACTGCTAGTATGGATCTCATTTACAAGACACAGATGTAGCATTGATTTAGGAAAAGTATTGGATTAATATGCTAGCTCCGCTCAATATTGCAAGCAGACAACAACTGCTACATAAACCTAGTTTTATTGTTATTCTATAGCCTTTTCTAAGATACATCTACTGCTAAAATATCAGTCATTACGACGTGAAATTCAATCAAATTTTAAAATGTAAATCATTAACAATGAGGATTGAAGTTGCATTTTGGACCATGTAGGAACAGTTTATTGGAATTTTGTACAGTACAGTATAACTTTGTTACGTGGGTAATTGCCTTGGGCCGCAATCACCCATAAAATTAACTACAACTATTATTGTAAATAGTTAAATTCTTCTTATTAGACCTAATGGTAGTCGACTAATAACATGAGTTTACAGCAGACTAAAGGTACGGATCTTCCTTTTTCCTAAATATCCCTAAAATCATATAGAAAATATTGTAATCGTACACTGATGTTGAAATTGTTTTAACGAGAAGCATGTGCTTACAATTACCAATCCTCGATACGTAAACGTTTGTTATCAGGCTACATCATAGATAAGACCAGTCAAACAAATTATTACAAACATACAAACATCAATCAAGGTTTATCAATTTACCTGTTTTTCTTTATAAACAAATTGGAGCTGCGTGCAGCCAATTTGCGGTGGCGAGCCTGGGAAAGGACGTGGAAACTCATAAATTAGATTGCCAAATATTCTCGACCGTAACGACGCAATTTCGGCGGCTAGACGTTGCAATAATGAATCTGTACGGTTAAACGGCTAATTGGATGTAATGAAGGGGGCTAATTGTTACCCGAGGTGGTCCGACCTGGCGGCAAGGAGAGTGCTCGATATCGGCGGCTCATTGATAACAGGAGTGCTCGATATCGGCGGCTCATTGATAACAGGAGTGCTCGATATCGGCGGCTCATTGATAATAACAGGAGTGCTCGATATCGGTGGCTCATTGATAACAGGAGTGCTCGATATCGGCGGCTCATTGATAATAACAGGAGTGCTCGATATCGACGGCGGCCCATTGATAACAGGAGTGCTCGATATCGGCGGCTCATTGATAACAGGAGTGCTCGATATCGGCGGCTCATTGATAACAGGAGTGCTCGATATCGGTGGCTCATTGATAACAGGAGTGCTCGATATCGGCGGCTCATTGATAATAACAGGAGTGCTCGATATCGGTGGCTCATTGATAACAGGAGTGCTCGATATCGGCGGCTCATTGATAACAGGAGTGCTCGATATCGGCTGCCCATTGATAACAGGAGTTGTCGATATCGGTGGCTCGTTGATAACAGGAGTGCTCGATATCGGCGGCCCATTGATAACAGGAGTGCTCGATATCGGCTGCCCATTGATAACAGGAGTGCTCGATATCGGCGGCCCATTGATAACAGGAGTTGTCGATATCGGCGGCTCATTGATAACAGGAGTGCTCGATATCGGCTGCCCATTGATAACAGGAGTTGTCGATATCGGTGGCTCATTGATAACAGGAGTTGTCGATATCGACGGCGGCCCATTGATAACAGGAGTGCTCGATATCGGCGGCTCATTGATAACAGGAGTGCTCGATATCGGTGGCTCATTGATAACAGGAGTGCTCGATATCGGCGGCCCATTGATAACAGGAGTTGTCGATATCGACGGCGGCCCATTGATAACAGGAGTGCTCGATATCGGCGGCTCATTGATAACAGGAGTGCTCGATATCGGTGGCTCATTGATAACAGGAGTGCTCGATGTCGGCGGCCCATTGATAACAGGAGTGCTCGATATCGGCGGCCCATTGATAACAGGAGTGCTCGATATCGGCGGCCCATTGATAACAGGAGTGCTCGATATCGGCGGCCCATTGATAACAGGAGTTGTCGATATCGACGGCTGCCCATTGATAACAGGAGTTGTCGATATCGGCAGCTCATTAATATGATTGTATGAATGAACCGTCGATATTGGTGGCTCATTGGTAGCAGGAATGTTTGGAGTAAATATATTTATCGGTGGATGTATAACATGAATGTATGGAGAACTGTCAATATCGTTGGCTCATTGATAACCGAAATATTTTAAGGAACTGTCTAAACTACCGACTTGTTGATTACATGAATATATGGATGAGCTCACAATATTTGCGGCTGATGGATAAGGAAGGTATGAAGAACTATCGATGACGGTGGGTCATTTATAACAGAAATGTTTGGAGTAAATATACCAATTTTTTTTAAATACATATTTTCCCCATTCTCAGTTTTCGATTTACCTTCTATAGAGTTTTTATGGGTTTGAGTGCAAATTATTTTAATAATATCACACGCCTGTCGGTAAAATATTTTAAGATAAACTGACCAAACACACAGTCTCTAGTTTACCTTACCCTGACCAAAAAGAGGTCCAGTGGACTAAAAAGTGTGCCTGTTTGTGTGTTTTTTTTCGTGATACTACAGTACAATCAAGATGATTATCAAAGCAGCCAGTGTTTAAACTTTTGTCACGCACAGGTCGATGAGACAATTTTTCTATTTATAGTTTGTGTAGCTTTATTACTTGCCACAATTAAGATTAATCAAATTTAAATGTATGGATAAACTATCGGTATAGACACATTTTTGTTAACACGAATACCTTTCAAAATTTGTGGCTGATTGATAAGAGAGATACTATGGAGAAACATGCGATATCAGACAGCAATGCATAAGAAGAAAATGTGGAGCATCTTTAATCAAGGGTGGATTATCGATAACATGAATGTATGGAGAAACGTCTCATTGATACCATATCCATGTATGTTATAAAGGAAACGTCGATATCATCAGCTCACTGGTAACGACAGGGATTAGAGGAACTGACAATTTCTGACGATTATTGGCAACAGGAATGAATGGATTACATGCCGATATTGGAGCTGATTGATTAGAGGAATTGGTGAATCATTGCCAGAAAGTGTAGCAATCGTTAACAATTAGTTAAGTTAAACACACGGATTAGTGTGAACATAAAACTAACTCACATGTTTCCATATGCGAGGCATGAGGTGACATGGGCCCTGTGAGGCCCTTGCACGCGGTAACTACCTCCGTCGAAGCCGTCACGTTAGTGTCGTCTTCCTCAGGGACTGTAGGCCGCCGCGGACTCGTGGCTCGGCACAGCAACACCAAGGGCAACAACCACCAGGGGAACAGAGCAACTCGCGCCGTCGTCACACGCTCCGACCCATCTCATCTGTCAACAACAGGAACACAATAAAGCAACCACAACCACCACCAGGGGAACAGAGCAACTCGCGCCGTCGTCACACGCTCCGACCCATCTCATCTGTCAACAACAGGAACACAATAAAGCAACCACAACCACCACCAGGGGAACAGAGCAACTCGCGCCGTCGTCACACGCTCCGACCCATCTCATCTGTCAACAACAGGAACACAATAAGGCAACAACAACCCCCACCAGGGGAACAGAGCAACTAGTTCTGACGTCACACGCTCCGACCCATCTCATCTGTCAACAACAGGAACACAATGAAGCAACCACAACCCCCACCAGGGGAACAGAGCAACTAGTGCTGACGTCTTGTGCTTCGACCCATAACATCCTGTTAACAATATAATAACAACCGAGGCCAGGGGAACAGAGCACTGGAGCCGACGTCACACGCTTCGACCGCTCTCATCTGTGAAACAATAGGTAGACAATAAGGCAAAAACAACCACCAGGGGAACAGAGCACTGGAGCCGACGTCACACGCTTTGACCGATCTCATCTGTGAAACAATAGGTAGACAATAAGGAAAAACAACCACCACCAGGGGAACAGAGCAACTGGAGCCGACGTCACACGCTTCGACCGATCTCATCTGTGAAACAATAGGTAGACAATAAGGCAAAAACAACCACCACCAGGGGAACAGAGCAACTGGAGCCGACGTCACACGCTTCGACCGATCTCATCTGTGAAACAATAGGTAGACAATAAGGCAAAAACAACCACCACCAGGAGAACAGAGCAACTGGAGCCGACGTCACACGCTTCGACCGATCTCATCTGTGAAACAACAGGTAGACAATAAGGCAAAAACAACCACCACCAGGGGAACAGAGCAACTGGAGCCGACGTCACACGCTTCGACCAATCTCATCTGTGAAACAATAGGTAGACAATAAGGCAAAAACAACCACCACCAGGGGAACAGAGCAACTGGAGCCGACGTCACACGCTTCGACCGATCTCATCTGTGAAACAATAGGTAGACAATAAGGCAAAAACAACCACCACCAGGGGAACAGAGCAACTGGAGCCGACGTCACACGCTTCGACCAATCTCATCTGTGAAACAACAGGTAGACAATAAGGCAAAAAAACCACCACCAGGAGAACAGAGCAACTGGAGCCGACGCCACACGCTTCGACCGATCTCATCTGTGAAACAACAGGTAGACAATAAGGCAAAAAACCACCACCAGGAGAACAGAGCAACTGGAGCCGACGTCACACGCTTCGACCAATCTCATCTGTGAAACAACAGGTAGACAATAAGGCAAAAACAACCACCACCAGGGGAACAGAGCAACTGGAGCTGACGTCACACGCTTCAACCAATCTCATCTGTGAAACAATAGGTAGACAATAAGGCAAAAAACCACCACCAGGAGAACAGAGCAACTGGAGCTGACGTCACACGCTTCAACCAATCTCATCTGTGAAACAATAGGTAGACAATAAGGCAAAAAACCACCACCAGGAGAACAGAGCAACTGGAGCTGACGTCACACGCTTCAACCAATCTCATCTGTGAAACAATAGGTAGACAATCAGGCAAAAAACCACCACCAGGAGAACAGAGCAACTGGAGCTGACGTCACACGCTTCAACCAATCTCATCTGTGAAACAATAGGTAGACAATAAGGCAAACAACCACCACCAGGGCCTAACAGATTATAATCGCCCAATTGTTGAAAAAGTATTAATAATCTAGATTGGAAAATAGGAGTTTATGTTTCGCATCGATGATTTTAAAAATCGGGCAGATATTGCGAAAGCAGATACATTTTCACGTACGACAAACATATAAACTTTCTGGTACACAAAGGTTTCATCGTCTCAATTTACTAAGTAAACAAATAAAACTGATGATGCAACATGTTGGTGGAAAATGTATCCGTATAAACTCTAAATTCAATAAATGTAACAACAATATACTCCGACCGAACACAAACGATGATTAGCTTCGGGTCAAGTTTGGATTGAAAACATTGTTCGGAAACAAAATTGCTTTTCTTTCTAGAAAACAAAAACATCCAAAAGCAAATTACGCTGGGCTAATGACGTAAAAAGTTCAACTTCCCAATTAGAGTTTTGCCAACAAATAGCTACTACGTGCCCTAAAGGGCGGGAGGAGGGTGGAGTTTTTGCTAGGAACGCCGTCAGATGGGAAATACTATCAAATTTAATTATTTCGTGGAGCACGTAAAGTCAGGCTTCTATTTATTCAACGCTTGCACCAACTTGTTGCTTGTGTAGTTAGTTCGCATGCAGGGTATTTGTGTTTGAATAAGTTATGTTATAGTTTGCCAACTGTTTGAATTGGATTTATTTTGGTAGCAAATCTGATATTCTATGTACAGCTAACTTTGTGAGTTGATATACGTTAAAATAACTCTGGTTACTGGTTACTGTATTATATTTATAGCCTGTGAAACAAACATTCAAGGCAAAAGCAAATATTTATCTGTATCCTCAAAGTTTATTGTTGTAAGTGTATTGTGAAAGATATGGTATAATAAAATATATAGAATAATAAATCCTACCTATGCAATATTGAATATAGTATAATTCCCATTTATGCTTTCTCCTTATAGGGATAGGGAAAGATATATATCCTACTATATCCCACTATATATCCTTATATATTGGGAAAGATTAATATGGCTAATACAATAATGTAAAACATTCAATTGTATTAAACTGCTAATTAAAAATGTCCTACAATAATTGAATCTCGAGGTAGGATTATGAACAAATGTATACGGATTTTTTTTAACTACAGGTTTTTATAAATAATTATTAGGATATCATTGTTACAATACTAGTAATAACGAGATCATTTATTGAGTAGATTTAGAAAGTGAAAATTCGCTTTTACACTACAGATTATAATTCACTGAAAAGCTTGCACGTTCAGCAGTGCTATCTCATCAAGTTGGTTTGGGTTTGGTAACTCCGACTATGTAAACGTAAATATCTGCAGATTCCTCACACACTACTGACTAGAAACAGAAACTAATAACGAACTACTCATCAATGGTAAATATTACATTAGTTGTAAATAAATATCCGACGAGATTCTATTCAATACGTTCTTCTGGTTGAGGACTATCGTACAAATAGCCTGCAGCCATGCCCCCAAAATTCGTGGGTCCCCGGCCGGGACTGGAGCAAACCCCGCGGGCCTAAATTGCACATAAAACGAGGGGCAAATGGAAAATCCGACCCCGGAGGGCCACAAACCCCGTAGACAATCGAGAGTAAACCCCATAAAAGTCAAGCATGACACATTGGGCAGGTGAGCGGCGAAAGAATCAGTCACCGATGGCTTAAACATCTGCAAAAACTGTCAGAATAGTCGTAAACTGTGACATGGGTAACTTTACGAGTAAACCGTCCGGGGAGGGGTAGGGAGGGGGGAGTTGACATGTGAAAACTGAAAATCACATCTGGTCGACAACTGGCATGTTGAACATGTATTGTCTCTGTGGTGAGAAGTCCCAAACTGCACCCATCTCCGTAATGACTTGAGAGATAGCTAAGGTCATGAAATGAAACATATATAAAAAAAATTGTCAATATTCACAAATTCTAGGTGTGTAACAATCATTTGAGAAACACTGGGGCACTAAATTTGAACGGAAGTCACACAAGGATACGTTTTTGAGGGTAACTTTTCAATAATAACTAAGAAACGTGTGTCGTCAAGCAGCAATTGTCTAGGTAACACGTTTGTATTGAAAAGCAAACCTATGAGTATAAGATAAAATTCTAAAAATATAAAAAAGAATATCGCATTTACCGCGACCACGCAACAAGCCCATAGTTTGGACCGCACTCAAAGAGCAATGCCAAATTTCATTTAAATTGGACGCGTTTTGGCAGAAACTACGCTAATGTATAAACAAACACACACGTGAGGTCGGATTCCAAAACTCCCATCACCGAGCACTAGATAACCAACTTATCGAGACACCAAACCTCTTTGCTGAACACTACACAATAACATTGAACATAGCATCGCTTAACACTAGATAACTACTTTGTTGAGACACCAAACCTTAGCTGAACACTACATCATAACACTGAACATAGCATCACAGAAACTAGATAACTACTTTGTCAAGACACTAAACCTTAGCTGAACACTGCATCATAACATTGAACATAGCATCACCGAAACTAGATAACCACTTTGTCGAGACACCAAACCTTAGCTGAACACTGCATCATAACATTGAACATAGCATCACCAAAACTAGATAACCACTTTGTCGAGACACCAAACCTTAGCTGAACACTGCATCATAACATTGAACATAGCATCGCTGTACACTAGATAACTACTTTGTTGAGACACCAAACCTTAGCTGAACACTTTATCATAACATTGAACATAGCATCACCGAAACTAGATAACCACTTTGTCGAGACACCAAACCTTAACTGAACACTACATCATAACATTGAACATAGCATCACCGAGCACTAGATAACCAACTTGTCGAGACACCAAACCTTAGCTGAACACTACTTCATAACATTGAACATAGCATCACCGAGCACTAGATAACCAACTTGTCGAGACACCAAACCTTAACTGAACACTACATCATAACATTGAACATAGCATCACCGAGCACTAGATAACCAACTTGTCGAGACACCAAACCTTAACTGAACACTACTTCATAACATTGAACATAGCATCACCGAAACTAGATAACTACTTTGTCGAGACACCAAACCTTAGCTGAACACTACAT